AACAGTGTCTTCAAGTCGGTCCACATCTTCAGCTGTTTTCGGTGTTGTGTCTCATTCTTCCGGAAATCCATTTGTTGTTGTTTTAGACGCTCTTTCTCTGTCTGTTGATCATTGAGTTGACTCTGGATTTGATGTCTTCGGTGGTCACACGAAATACAAATCACATATCAATACACTTCATAAGACAACAACTTTTACAATACTTACAAAATACAGTCAGACTTATCATCCGTGGACTCCTGAGCCACATACAGGTTCACCTCCTTGTCCAACACCTGCTGCCTGGCTTTCAGCACTTCCAGCTGACACTCCATGAAGTACTGGTTGGACTCGAGCGCGTGGACCTGTTTGGTGATGTAAGGGAATGGGTGGTTAGACCACATACTGCCTGTCCTTTGAGCGGTTGGTCACCATCTTTGAGTCCACTCCTTTTGGTTTTAAGTATTTTCTCCAAGTCTTTCAACTCGTATTCCGCTTGTTTGAAGGAATCTGACGTCACCTCCCGTTTCTTCGCCACATCCGCCGCCTTACCATTCATTATATTCATTGATATTTGAGTTTTAAAATAATTAAAAATGATTTTGTCATACATTTTGCCGAAACAAAGCCATTTTGTCGGCCATCGGGTCGTTGTTAAGCATCTTATTCTCGACGATTGTATTGATCTCTCAATTCAGCGCCTGTATCTGAATCTGAAGTTTGTTTAAGTAATCGTTACTCATCTGCGGCTGACTCTCAAATAAAGTCAAATAAATATCTTGAGTTTACATCGATAGGAAAATAACTAAACTTTGAAAAATATATTACAACGAAGTGTAACCTCAGCTCCACTTCATAACTTAGTTATAAAAATACATTGATAATATAATATTATAATTTTTTTAAAACAACAACATCTTGAACTATGGATGATTAGCTGATTAGCTGGTGATTGTCCTAATTGGGATAATCGGTCACCTATATTACATATAGTTAATTATTATTAAATATTATTAGTTAATAAATGATTATTGCTAAACTAAACTGAATTAGAAATAATTGTTTTTGTAATAATTTGGTAAAATATAAAATGACAATTTCTGTTAAATATAATATTCATTTTAATGGCTCTAAACATTTCAAGAATTTAAACATTTTAAATAAACATTTTCTTATTTAAATGACCATTAAATATGTTTTTGAAATAATCAAATTGAGAATATATAAATAGACCTATTACATTCAAAAAACTATTTTCATTCTTAAAAAGATTATTTAACATATGCCATATTGTACATATTATAATATTATTCATATTATCTTTTATTAAACAATTATAAAATGCCTAAAACTATTGATTTAAGTGAACCCATACCCCCTGAATAGCGTGTAAGGGGTGCTGACAGTCATCTGAGATAACTTATTATTAATAACTTATTAACTTTGAATAATTATTGTTATCTAAAATTATTGACGATAATAATCAGTGTATCGAATTAGCTAATGATCCTCAACTAATCAAAATCATCAATACAACTCAAAATTTTAAATGTACTGATTTTCGTACTGCTATTTTGATACACTGATAATAATTAACATATGTTTCATATAAATTATTTTGAATAGGATTAAATATTATTATTATTCTTATTATTGATATCAATTAGAATATGTATTAATCAATATTAGTAATTTCCTGAAGTAAATATTATTAAAAATAGTTAAATTATTATGGCAAAACTAAACTACAGTATAGATAATGGTTTTGAAAAAATTTGGTAAAATATAAAATAAACAAATAAAATAAAATAAACAATTTTTGTTGAAAATAATATTCATTTTAATGGCTTTAAAACATTTTAAATAAACATAATTTCTTATTTGAAATAACTATTAACTTATGTTTTGGAATAATAATATTGCAAATATGTAAATTGCCCTCTTACATTTAAAAAGTTGTTTTAAAGATCATTTAACATAATACAGTATTATTACATATTGTACACTATATTATTCATATTATCGATTATTAAACAACTATAGAAATGTCTGAAACTATTGATTTAAGTGAACCCATACCCCCTGAATGGCGTATAAGGGGTGCTGACAGTCATCTCTATTCAATTGGTTTATCATTATTTCAACCGAAATCTCATTTCAAAAGGAAATGGTTTTCTAATCCATATTTTGGGTGTTTTATAATATTTCTTAATTTAATAAAATATATTATTTTATTCATTATTAACTACAAAAATATACAGTTTTCACAACTATTTCATAAAGTAATGTGTAACTTTGACTATTTGTTCACATATCAATTCACTTCTTAAGACAACAACTTTTACAACACTTACAGAATAGAGTCGGACTTATCATCCGCGGACTCCTGAGCCACATACAGGTTCACCTCCTTGTCCAGCACCTGCTGCCTGGCTTTCAACACTTCCAGCTGGCACTCCATGAAGTACTGGTTGGACTCGAGCGCGTGGACCTGTTTGGTGATGTCCTGACACTCGTTGTCGACGGTGGCGGCGCTGGTCTCGAGTGAGTTCGATACAGTCTGGCAAACAGTTAGCAATGGATTTCCTGCCCTACCTATACTATCCGTAAAAATGTTGATTTATTTTTATAACTTTTAAAATAATCATTTCATTTAAGCAAAACATTTATTATACAATTGTCTCGATTCGTGGGTACTTAAGTATCGATAATTTTTAAACTAGCAGGGACTATTGGGTTTTCTTATTTCTTATCAATACTATTATTTATAATCCAAATTTCATCCAAATTTTACATTGAAGGCAACAACACATATATTTTATTGAATTCACTCTTATTATCAAAATATAAATATCAAATTATTTTTAAATTAAAGGTAAAAACATTTATAACACATTTAAGTGTAAAATGAATCTGATTATTTTTAATTTGTATAAAAATATTTTAATTGCAATTTAGTTATTGTCAGTAATGGAGAGAATAGTTGTAAAAAGGATTGGCTTTTATTGTTGGAAACTATTCATTATAAACCAATTCAAGGGATACGAGGTTTAATACATTTTACTAAAACCTATCCTAAAATGATAAGATTTAATATTATATTTGTACTTGATAACTATTATACTCGTATTGATCTGATAATTTATTTTACAGATCATTTCGCTTACAGTTCTGTTATTTTTAAAGATCACTGAAAATGAACTTTGCATGAGCCTGAACATAAATTAATTAGGATCTATGTATTGAATACTAATTAAATTATTATTGCTAAAATAAACTGCATAAAAAGAAATAATGGCTTTTGTAATAATTTGGTAGAATATACAATAACAATTTTTATTGAAAATAATATTCATTTTAATGGATCCAGCACATTTCAAGGACTAAAATATAAATTATACTGTTTTAGAAAAAGGACTGTTAGGTGTTGTAATAATAATTATGAACTGTATAATAAAATAATAATAATAATTATTATTATGTTTTCAATAATATTATTCATTTCATTTGATAAAGTTTATGATATTTTGATATTTATGCTAAAATAATTGAACTAAGTATACGGTATTTACTTATTTGAAGTTGGATTAAAATTTTAATGGCTTTAAAACATTTTAAATAAACATAATTTCTTATTTGAAATAACTATTAACTTATGTTTTGGAGTAATAATATTGCAAATATATAAATTGCCCTCTTACATTTAAAAAATTGTTTTAAAGATCATTTAACATAATACAGTATTATTACATATTGTACACTATATTATTCATATTATCGATTATTAAACAAC